ATTATTATTATCATCATCTTTATTATTATTATTATTATTACCGGGTATTATTATTTTTTAAAATTTATTATCATCATCATCCTCTTTACTATCATTATCATTTTTTAAATTATTATCTTTATTATTATTATTATTATTAGTAGTAGTAGTAGTAGTAGTAGTAGTAGTAGTAGTAGTAGTAGTAGTAGTAGTAGTAGTATTACTATTATTACTATAATCATCATCATATTTATTTTTTATTATTTACTATCATCATCATTTTCATTATCATTATTTTTTAAATCTTTATTATTATTATTATTGTTATCATTATCATCATCATCATTATAATTATACTATTATTATCATTATTATTATCATGTATTTCACAGTGTTTCCAGCCGGAATTCTGCAACCTTCATTTTACAGCCAAAGTTATCCCAAGTAAGTGTTAACTGTTTCCATGTCTTCGGCATTCTTTCTGAGTTAAAAAACACCCAACTGTTTCTTGACATTTATGAGATGCTGTCAATGTACTTGCTAAAAAAAACACACAATACACACACAAACAAACACATATTTACGTGATTGTAGCTATGTACTTATATATTTACCATCTCTTTTTCTCTTTTTCTGCCCCTCTCTTTCGCTCTCTCTCTCTCTCTCTCTCTCTCTCTCTCTCTCTCTCTCTCTCTCTCTCTCTCTCTCTCTCTCTCTCTCTCTCTCTGTGTGTGTCTCCTTCTTTCTCTCGTCCGCTTTGTCTTTCTTCATAATACGCTGGTACGACATATTATGTGTGCTATAAAGTGGGGTTGTTAAAGTTTTTATTTACCCACCCTCCCTGAATGCTAAGTAAAAATCAACTGGCTTTTATACACTGTAGAATGTATAAGAAAATTGCCCATCTTAACGTCTGGAAGGAAAATTGCATATTATTAGCAAGCCGTTCAAATGCACTTAGCGCAGAAATTTTTCTTAGATTTTCAGGAGAGAAAAAAAAACCCTGTTTCATTCTTTTGACAATTGTATACACATTGTGTTTTGCCCTTTCTCGCTTTTTTTCACCATTCGAAATTATTTGAATTGCAACAAATTGTTTCAAGAGCACATGCAACAGTTGCCATAGATTAGGAAACTGTGATTGAAAGAAAAAAATATTAGATACTTTTAGTATTGGGCTTAGTACGTGTTTTTTAAATTTTAGTAAGGTTTTACGGCGCTCGCAGCTGCATAAGGTCATCTTAGTGCCAAGGGGTGGATGTCAACAGTGAAGTCCAAACAGGGAATCAGGTTTGCTCTGCTCACTTCTCTAGCCCCAACAGCACAAAGTCTGCTTTGATATCAAGGCACCCCTTAAATAGCAGTTCCCAAGAGTGTGACAAACATAACAACAAAAATAGAGGAAAATGCCGATAGTAAGGATGAGGACAGAAAAGGCAGCAGTTTCCCCTATGCACAGTATGAGCATGACACTGATAAATCAGTCCATACACAATTCTACTGTGCATAAGTACATGTTAATATCCTCCCTTTTGGAATGGCCCGAAGACACTTCAGTAAGTAGCACTGTCCTGGAGGGGGGGGGGGGGGAGGGAGCAGGCTTCGTACATCTGGACAGCTGGCCGATGATCTGTATTGGGAATTCTGGGGTCTATTTTTGCGAGCGCCAATCGACTGTCAAATGCCATGAAAGCTTTAAAAACTGTGCTACCGGTAAAATGTTCTCTTTTATTTTTAGTTTTTTTAAATATGATTATCATTAGTGTTTTTATTCTTCTTCTTTTTTATGTAAATGTTTCACAGCGCTTGCAACTGCATAAAATCATGTCAGCGCGCGGCACACACATTAAGCATTTTCAGTTTGGTAGGGAATAATTTTGAATTTTGTCAGGGAGTCGGCGAAAGCCTACACTTATAGATTTTAGGACATAATTTAACGTACGCAATTTGCACACGGGACCTCCGAGATTTTTCCGCCATTTCCCGAGAAGGCTAGGTGTTAGATCTTACCTATCCTAAGATAGGAGGTGTAGCTGAAAGACAGAAGTAATAAGGAGCCAAGGAGTAGTAGTAGTAAAATAGAAAGGTTGCAGAAAGAGTCAGGAGCCCAGAGGAGGGGCAGAAAACGGAGAGAACAACAGACGACAGGAAATTGATTAGAGAGCAGGGAAAGAGGTGAAAGAAAATACTTTTTTAAAGAAAAAAAGGTTTTCCATCGCTGTCAGGTTCCTAACCTGGGACCTACTGAATGAGAGGCGAACACAGTACCCTATAGACCACTACAATCCCCTTAATATTCACCCTGGGGTGTTCTGCATATTGTGTCATAAGTCTTGTCTTTTATTGCAGATCTCTGAACTACGGCGGTATCGGCGTTGTGATCGGCCATGAGATTACCCATGGATTTGATGATAAAGGTTCGTGTTGTTGTTGACACTGTTTATGATGTGATTGCTGTATGCATGTTTGTGTGTGTGCGTGTGCGTGTGTGTTTGTGTGTGTGTCTGTGTGTTCTTGTGTTTGTGTGTGCTTGCGTATGTGGGTTTGTGGGTTTGTGTGTTTGTGTGTATGCGTGTTTGTGTGTGTGTCTGTTTTGTGCTTGTGTTTGTGTGTGTTTGCATGTGTGGTTTTGTGTGTGTATGTGTGTGTGTGTTTTGTGTGTATTTGTGTGTGTGTGTGTGTGTTTGTGTGGGTGTGTGTGTGTGTGTGTTTGTTTACGTGTGTGTGTGTGTGTGTGTGTGTGTGCTGTTGTTGTTGCTGTTGCTGTAATTATTTTTTGTTATCAT